GCAAGTTCAAAGCCAGCCTCAGCCAAAGTGAGGCCCTAAGCAACTCAGTGAGACTCTTTCTCTAAATAAAATACAAAAAAGGGCTGGGGATGGAGCTCAGTGGTTGAGTGCCCCTGAGTTCAATCCCTGGTACCAAAAAAAAAAGGGCAGGAATCTCACTGGGCAAGAGTTCCAGGAGGTTTTCCAAGGGGGCAATGGGACCTCGCTGCGCCTGGGTGGGCTTCTTGACTTGCATCACTGAAAATAACTTTCGGATTGTTGAAAGCAAGGCCCAAGCAAAGACGTACTAAAGGACAGCAAAACTAAGGCACGCACACCCGAGAGGCAGGCAGCTGACACCGCCACCTCTCAAAGAAGAGATGACGGTGATGCTCCCAGGGTTGAGCTCCTGACTATACATAGGGTTTTTCTAAGAAAAGTTTAGGTTTCCAGGCAAACTTTTGTGAAAGTCAAATCCCATGTCAATCATTTGCTATTTGGGGATCATAATGTTTCTTTCTGGTTAAACTCTCTAGCAAGAAATCAGCTGGGGGACCTTGTGTCGCTCTTTGACTCTAGTGACATTTAAATTGGTTGTTTCTGTTCTGATTGATCCAGTCCGAGCGTTCGCTGGAGGTTTTGTTCATCTAACTAGAGACAAGCAGAGGATGACTGAGGCTGCGGGCTGAGCTCACAGCCCACAGCCATTACCCACTTGCCAGCCGTGTGACTGAGCCATCTTGGAAGTGGATCTGTCGAGTCCCAGATGAAGCCACCCAGCTACTGCCAGGTGGAGTGTTTGGGGCCTTCCTGCAGAGGCCTGCCCAAGTTGCAGGTTTGTGAACAGAATAACGATTGTCCTAGTCTCAAGTCACGTGTTTTAGAGTAGTTTGTTATGTAGCAGTAACAACTGGAATAAATGCTTTGGCCCAGAAATGACCTGCATTGTAGCTTACCAGTTCTGACCAGTAAGCCACACGGGTTTCCTAACTGTGAAGGGTTCAGAGATATATGTGGAGAACAGAGAAATGTGGATAGCGGTTTGTGTCCATCACAGTGTCTGAATCAACCTTTGAGGGCTGGGGTGTGGCTCAGTGGTATAGTGCTTGTCTAGCATGCATGAGGCCTGGTTTCCACCCCCAGACTGGAAATTAAAAAAATAAAAAAAGCTTTGATAATGTGACCTACAAGCAGAGATCTGAATAAAGCAGGAAGCTAGCTATGAGCTGGGCACAGTGGCTCATGCCTATAATCCCAGCCACTTGGAAAGCTGAGGTAGGAGGATCATAAATTGGAGGCCAGCTGGGGCAACTTAGTGAGACCCTGTCTCAAAATAGAAGATTAAAAAGGCTAGGGGTGTAGCTCATTGTGCAAGGCCCTGAGTTCAATCTCTAGCACTGTGCACACAAACACAAACACAAACACATAAACACAAGATTCCACTGCTGTTATGATTTGGGTCTTAAATGTCTCCCAAAAGCTCATATAATGAAGGTTTGGTCCCCCGGGCAACAGTTTTCAGAGGTGCAGACTTTGGGAGGTGGCTGGGTCATGATGGCTCTAACCTTATGAACATCATGAATAGATTAATCCACTTATGAATTCATAGCTTAATGGGCTTGGGGGAAGGGACTCTGTTATAAACTCTCTCTCTCTCTCCCTCTCTCTCTGGACTTTCTGCCTGCTAGTAGGTGAACAGCTTTCCTCTACCACACGCTTCTGCCATGATGCTCTGCTTACCACAGGCCCACAAGCAACTGGGCCAAGCCCCCATGAACTGAAACCTTTGAAGCTCTGAGCCAAAATAAACATTTCCTCCCTTCAAGTTGTTTATCTTAGGTATTTGTCACAGTAACAGAAAACTGACTTAACACAATCACTGCCATCATCAGATTGTTTTTTTTTATATGTATTTTTTTTTTTTTTAGTTTTAGGTGGACACAATATCTTGATTTTACATTTATGTGGTGCTGAGGATTGAATCACTGAGCTGTATCTCTTGCCAACGACCACCTCCCTCCTTCCAGGGCCTCAGAGGACAGGGGATCCCTCCTTTAGCTCGAGGTCGGCCCATTTGCCTGCACGGTCGACCCCGTTTCTTCCCATCACCTCCAGAACCTCATCCACCCTTCTCTGATAACCACTGGCTCCCTCAGGTCCTCCCCACACATTTTCTCCAAACTACTCCACATAACAGCTCCCATCTCCTCGCTTTCCTGTCCCCTCACCTCCCAAACCACTGCAGTCTGCCTTCCTCCCCTCCACACCCTACACCCTCCTGATCCCCACTGATCTTGTTGCCAAATCTAAGTCCTCTTGTCCTCCTCTGCGCCTCTACCACACTTGGCAGGGCTGATCAGGCCCTCCTTGGAAATGTCTCCTTGGTTTCTGTGACACAGGGTGCCCCACCCTTTCAGATGCTGCTCCCCCCACCCTCTGCGGCTCTGTGGATGCTGCTCTGGCTCTCCTCCTCTCCTGATCTCTTCAAATGGTATGACCCTTTTAAAACAGGTCCAAAATGTCTCCCATTGAGTAATACGTCTATGTCCCTTCCCTTTGAATCTGGCCCCACCTTAGTGACTGCTCAAATGACAGACCACCATGGACCAGGCTCCATTCCATGGTGACTGCTGAAGCTGGGTCACAAGGGCAATGTGGCCTGGCTCACTGGAGCCCGGAACCAGGGTGGGAGAAGTTTCACTGCCTGAGGCCACCGTGCTGTGCAGAAACCAAATCAGCTCCCGCAGGGAGACCTCCTGGAGAGGCCTGGACTATAAAAGAAAAGAGAGAGAGATGCTCGGCCACCCCCAGATGCTCCCGCTGCTGGCTGCTCCAGCTCTTACCACAAAAGCGACCCCAAGGCTGAACCACCCAGATGAACCCTCCTCACACTCCTGACCCACAAAAACCGTGAAAGATGATGGAATGGTAGCCTCTAGTGTGGTCTGTTCACCGTCTTGTAACCAGAACAGAGCGGTCTCGATTTGTTCCCGCCACTATATTAGGGGTGACTTAAGCCACAAACATTCATTTCCCAGTTTGGCTGGCTGCAAAGTCCAAGATGAAGGTGCCAGCAGATTCACCTGCTGCCAGGTGAGGGCCTGCCTCCTGATTGGCAGACAGCCCTCTTCTGCGGGTAGCCTCTGAGTCAGGCAGCAGAGGGAGAAGCAGGCTCGGCCTGTCTCCTCAGCAGGGGCTCCAATGACTCTCAAAGAGCCCACTTCCAAATGTCACCATGTTAGGACTTCAGTCCATAGCAGAGGGGTGCCTGGCTTCTGACCCAAGTTCCCTTCCTTTGGTTTCCCTGCAGTTCATTTTACCCCCCTGATCAGATCACATTCCTTTCCTCTTTTTTAAAAAAATATTTTTTTAGTTGTAGATGGACACAATACCTTTATTTTCTGTGTTTATTTTTATGTGGTGCTGAGGATCAAACCCAGGGCCTCCCACATGCCAGGCAAGCGCTCTACCACTGAGATTCAGCCTCAGCCCACATTCCACCCTCTTGACAACCTTCCATGGCTCCACAGTACCCTCAGATTGTAGTCCAAAATTTTTCCCTCCAGGGCTTGAAACCCACAGTCTCACTTCTGCCTGCATCTACAGTCCAGCGTGCACACACACACACACACACACACAATGAGTAAGTCCTTCAGTACAAAGCTTTTAAACACATAATGAACATCAAATGTTGCAACTATTATTAGTTTGTGTTCAGTAAATATTTATTGAGCTGTCTATTCCATGCCAAGCACTATGGGAGGCTCAGAGATACTGTAGTGAACAAGAAAGATGTGGTCCTATCCTTGAAGGGCTCATTCATTCCCGTTCCCCTGTCCCAAGGCACACAGAGAGACAATGCACGCTCAAGACATCAAGGCATGTTCCTGCAATGGTGTCTGATGAAGTTCAGGCAGGTACCATGACTGTCCCAAGACCACACACCAAATGTGGGACTTTCCCAAGACCACACAGCAAATGCTTGAGCACATAACAAGGCCTGAAGCTGATGCAGCTGTCTGGGAGGTGGCAGCTGGCACACACTGCCCAGGGCAGAACCAAGTCGGATGGGGAGGGAGGGCGGGGCTCCCTGCCTTACTGGCTCCTTCCGGAGCGGATAGGGCAAATGGCCTCTCTCCAAACACCTCCTCCCCACCTCTAGCTCCTCTAGGCGGGATGGAGCTCCAGCTCCATCCAAGTCAGAGGGACTGATCCTTAGCCGGGGGTGGAGACTCAAAGAGGAAGAGGCCAAGCACAGGGGCACTGTCTGTAATCCCAGCAACTCCAAGGCTGGGGGAGAAAAACGCAACTTCAAGACCAGTCTGGGCAATTTAGGGAGAACCTGCCTCAAAGCAAAAAGTAAAAAAGGCTGGGGATGTGGCTTTAGGGGTTATGCGTCCCTGAGTTCAATCCCCAGTACCAAAAAATAAACAAATAATTAAAAAATTAAAAAGGATGGGAGTGTATGCAGAGCAGCGGTAGGGTACCCCCGGGTTCAATGCCCAGGAGCGGGGGCGGGTTGGGGAGAATGGAAGGAACCCACGGGATTCCACGAGAGGTGAGGACTCCTGAGAGATCAGGGACTCGGGTGCCCCTGGGAAGGAGGTGCCCAGGGAGAGAGGCGGGGCTCTAGGAGGGAGCGCGCTGAGATGGGAGGGGGCGAAGGAAGTGGGTTCAGCCAGGAGATGCAGGTTTCTCCACTCCGGTGGGGAGCTTCACGAGAGGGGTGGAGACCCAGAGGAGGCACTGAAGAGATGGAGACTCAGTGATGGGTCTTCAGTGAGAGGAGTGGGCAGCTGAGGAGTGATGAGAGCTCAGATGAGGAGTTCGAGGGACCGCAGGAGGGGCCGAGGTCCAGGCAGGCGGTGGGCTCTGCAGAAGGAGCCTGGGGTCTGAGGGAGAAGGGAACTGGGAAGGGTTCAGGGCTTCGGGGAGCTTCCAGCAGCCGCAATCTGCAGACCCAGCCCCTAGGGCGGGCCGGCGCCCCCCTCCTCTTTCTGCCCCCGTACCGCCCCCCCGCCCCCCGCCCCCAGCCCCGGACTGCGGCGGCGCACGCGCGGACCAGACCCGCTTCGGCTCTGCTCATCTCCAGCTCCTGTTGGCTCGGCGGAGACTGCTGGTGGATAGGTGAGCTCAGCCCCTGCTCCACTAGCACCGACCCCTATCCGGCCGTCTCCCGGGTTCCAGAGAACCTCACCCTCTAACCGCATCCTCAGCCCGGCCGCGTCTGGCTGGGTAGGACCGACATCTGCGCCCTGGTCTTGAGCTTCGGGAGGTGGGGGGTCCCAGGGAAGTATCAGGGGGCAGACGGCAGGAGCTTCATCACGCCCCCACACCCCAGGGTCGGTAGCTGGGCGGAGGCTTCAACGGCCAAGATCGCCCCCCAACCTCCCTCCAAAAACCCATTCCTAATCCATTCTGCCTCAGTTTCCCTCTAAGGGAAAGGACGCAGCTAATTTCACCCAGGGGAAGGGTGGTCGAGTCCGAAAGAGCGATGCTGCGGGCGGGGGGCTGATTTCCCCAGCCATCCCTCCAGGAGGGTGCCCCTTCTGACCGCCGGGGCAGCGTAGGGTGCTGGAGTGGGCGGGTCTGGGGGGTCTGGGAAGGGGAACTGAATAGGGCCATCAAGATGCGACAGATTCTATCCATCTTCAGGCCCTCAGACTTGTCACCTCCGTGTACGTTTCCCTTCCCTCGCCTCCTCCACCGCAGTCTCCCCACCCTCGCCCTCGGCCAACGCAGCCCCCTCCTCTTCCCGCGGCGTTCCCACCAATTCCTCCCCGCTGCTGGCTGGGGACACCTCCCTAGCGGTTCCCATGGCAACCCCCGAGGATCCTCAGCCTCCTTTCCCTCCCAGCCCTCTCTCTCCAGCTAGACCTCCTCCTCGCAAGCCTAAAATGGGAGGGGGAGGGACCAGCGGAGGGGAGGCACCGTCAAGGTCACCTTCCTTCTCTAGTATCTACAGGACTGAGTGATTGTATAGATTTGGGGGCGGGGGGAGCCGTGAATTAAAGGGAGGAGCTAACCCAGGCCCACATTCCTCGATCCCCTCCCCGCCCCATCACCTGGGGTCTTCAATTAAAAGTCCCTGTTCTGAGGCCCTAACTGCCTCGGGGCCCCATTCATTCTCCCTACACCGGCCTCCCTAGCGGGGGCGGTCACCCTGTTGGCCACGCCCTCGCCGAGCCCCGCCCCCTCGCCAGATCCCTGCTTTCCATCCAGACTTCTCGCCCTTTCCTTCTTCTGTTGCTTTTCGGCTTTTGGTCTCTGCTATTTCTCATTCTCTGTTACTTTATTTTTTTTTTCCTTTCCCCCCCTCTTTCTTCACCTGAATTGTAACTGAGGAAGTTTGACAGCCGCGATCTATGGACAGGCAATCTTGGCCGCAAACCCTCGCTCTGTGTGGCTCCGCGGGGTCCCGAGGAAGCGCCCCTGTGTGTGTGTCTGCGTGTGTCTATAACGTGTGTGTCCACGTGCGTCTGTGTGGTCGTCTCTGTGCCCGTCTGGGCCTCGGTGTGGTGTCCTGGTGGTTTGTGCGTGTGCAGATTTCTCTGTGCTGTGTGTGTATATGAAAGTGCTGGTGAGTCTCCACGCAGGGACTGGAGGGTCACATTTGATTGGAAGTGAGGGGGCCCTGGATTGGTCTACCCGTCTTTGGTTTGAAGCTGCTCTGAAGACCCTGGTGGGGGTGGGAGGGCAGAAGGCTGCACCTGCAGGCTCCAGTTTTAGCCTTACCTGTGCTCACACAACTTCCAGGAAGCCCTGGGTTCAATTCCCCCGCAACCAGCCTGGGGCACCTTCCCCTCCTGACACCTGTGTTCCCTTTTGTGAAAAAAAAAGGTTCTTAAATAGGGTTCTCTGGAAATCAGCAGCCCTTAATCCTAAGAGCCCCTAATCCTGAGGGCCCCGAGTTCCCCTCCTGTGAAGCCGAAACTCCGCGGAAGTTGGAGGCTGTGTAGAGGCAGCCCTGGGAGAAAACTTGTAGCTTGGAGACTCCGGGCCCCACTGGACAAGTGTTGGCCATGACAGTTGCCCCTCCGAGGGGCCCAGAAGAGGGGATGAGATTTGGAAGAGGGGGAGATAAGGATCTCTCACTCCAGACACTGAGCCCTAGAAGTTCAGGATGGACGTAATAACAAAGAAATCCTAGTCATAATCATAACGGCTACCTTTACAGCACTAGACACGATAACTAAGTGAAACAGGTATCATTGTTAGCTCTATTTTACAGATGAGGAACCCAAGGCTCAGAGAGGTTAAAGCACTTGTCTAAGGTCACACAGTGAGGTAGTGGTGGGTCTGGGGTTGTAGTCCAAGTAGTCGGGCACATGGATGGACACCTGCACTGTAGGGCCCCAGGCTAAGCGCTTCTGTCATTGGTTCCTTCATAGATACTTAGGGAACACCAGCTAGGATTCCAGAGGCCCGGCCATGCTAGAGGTGAGGTGTGGAGAGCGGGAGGATGGCTGAGCGCAGCTATTCAGGAGGCGGAGGCAGGAGGATCCCAAGTTCAGGCCCAGCCTGGGTAACTTAGTGAGAGGTTGGCTCAAGATAAAAAAATAAAAAGGGCGGGGGATGTAGCTCAGTGGTAAAGGGCCCCTGGGTCCCATCTCCAGTACAAAAAAAAAAAAAAAAAAAGTGGGAGAAGTGTGTGGGATACAAGGTTGCAAAGTAGGAGGGCTACCATGGGCAGCTCCCACTGACCCTGTCTCTGTCAGCTGCCCCTTGCCTGCCCCACAGGGATCCATGATGCTGAGCTGCGGTCGTCCCTGCACCTGTGGCCATGGCACCGGTGTGGAGGAAAGCAAGTGGTATGGGGTGCGCTCCTACCTGCACCTCTTCTATGAGGACTGTGCGGGTACTGCCCTCAGTGATGACCCTGAAGGGCCACCTGTCCTGTGTCCCCGCCGACCCTGGCCCTCATTATGCTGGAAGGTAAGGGAACAGGAGCAACTCCTGTGATTCCTGTGGCTACATGGGGGAGGTGGGATTGGATTTGAGGTTCAGAGAATAGAAGTCAAAGGAACCGTGGAGAGTTAGGGTCTTGCACATTCAAGCAACAGGAAACCCAAGTGATAGCCAGGCGCAGGGGGCCACGCCTGTATCCCCAGCGACTCTGGACACTGAGGCAGGAGGATCGCAAGTTTCAGACCAGCCTGGGCAACTTAGCACTATCCTGTCACAAAAAACAAAAAGGGCTGGGATGTAGCTCAGTGCTAGAGTGCCCCTGAGTTCAATCCCCATTACTGGGAAGGGGGACCTCAAATAGGTTTGAACAGTAAAGTGTGCTCATTGCTCATTTTGTAGAAGACATCGGAGGTTGGGTGCCTCTGGACAAAGTCTGATGCGGGAGTTCAAACCATCAATCATGTGGAGGATTTTGCATTTTCTCTTAGTCTTTGGGCTCCCGGTGGTGTCCCTCTCTATAGCCCATGAGTTTTTCGCTTTCTCCACATGTCCCCCAAATAACTACTATTGTGCTGGCCTCAGGCCTTTAAGGAAAGTCAGAGTCTCCTCTGTATTTCCTTCATAAAGGAAACAGTGAAACCAGCCAGAAGTTAAAAATGCAGCTGGGCACATGCCTGTAATCCCAGAGGCTCAGGAGACTGAGGCACGAGGATGGAAAGTTCAAGGTCAGCCTCAGCAATTTAGTGAGGTCCCTAAGCAACTTAGAGAGATCCTATCTCTAAATAAAATATAAAAAGGGGGCTGGGGTTGTGGCTCAGTGGTAGAGCCCTTACCTAGCATGCATGAGGCACTGGGTTCCATCCTCAGCACACATAAAAATAAAACAAAGATCTATGTCCACCTAAAACTAAAAAATAAATATTTTTAAAAGGGGGGGGGGGCTGAGGATGTGGCTCAATGGTTGAGTGCCCCTGGGTTCAATCCATGGTAACAACAACAACAACAACAACAAAGCATTACTGTCAGGTGTAGTGGTGCACACCTATAATCCCAGAGACTCTGGAGGCTGAGGCAGGAGGATTGCAAGTTTGAAGCCAGGCTGGGCCACTTAGCCAATACTCTGTCTCAAAAAAAAAAAAAAAAGCTAGGGATGTCACTCAGTGGTTGAATGCTCTTGGGTTCAATTCCAATATGGAAAAAAGATTACCATTTACATTAGTATGGGGAGTGGGGAGAAATAGGAATATAGGTGTAAATATGACAAAGTATGTATAATATGAGGAAAACTACAAAACCTTATGAAAAATATCAAAGAACTGGCCAGCCATGGTGATAAGTGTGTGTAATTCCAGAGACTTTGGAGGCTGAGGCAGGAGGATCACAAATTTGAAGCCAGCCTCTGCAACTTAGTGAGACCCTGTCTCAAAATAAAAAAAGGGCTGGGGATTTAATTTAGCAAAATACCCCTGGTATGTATGTATCTCTCTCTCTCTCTCTCTCTCTCTCTCACACACATACACACACACACACACACACACACACACAACATAGAAGAACTAATAAGCATCCTGGTTGTTTTCCCTGAGTAAGGGAGGTTTTAGATGAGATCTGAGGATGCGTAGGTGTTAACCTAACAGAGAGACAGGGCAGAAAGGACAAGGGGATAAAAGGGGACCTGAATAATGATGGAGGGGACTCAGGATTGGTCAGAGAAAATCACTGCTAGCTGGGAGTTGGGAAGGCGATTGATCTGAGGCCTCAAGATTCCAAACGGAGCTGCTCCTGTCCGTCAGAGCCCAGCAGGTATGTTCTGTGATCCCGCCTCTTGAGGTTGGATCATGGAATCACTATTAAATCCAGGGGAGCCAAGGCGATCCTGGCCCCCGGGGACCCTGACTATCTCCTCGTCTGTCTGCCTCTCCAGATCAGCCTGTCCTCAGGGACTCTGCTCCTGCTGCTGGGGGTGGCAGCCCTGACCACTGGCTACGCAGTGCCCCCCAAGCTGGAGAGCATCAGCGATGGTAAGTTCCCATCGTTGGATCAGCGGGCAGCAGACTACAACCAGGCCCTGGGCACCTGCCGCCTGGCCGGCACAGCACTGTGTGTGGCGGCCGGGGTCCTGCTGGCCATCTGCCTCTTCTGGGCCATGACGGGTTGGCTGAGCCAGGACACCAAGGCAGAGCCCTTGGACACCGAAGCTGACCACCACGTGGAAGTCTTCAGGGACGAGCCAGAGCCCCGGCTGTCCCCCATCTTCCGTGATGCCAGCGGTCAGTCGTGGTTCTCGACCCCCACCAGCCCCTTTGGGCAGTCTTCTGTGCAGACCATCCAGCCCAAGCGGGACTCTTGAGCTGCCCACGTGGAAGCTCAGGGAGGAGCAGACCCTTCATCCAGACCCAGTGCACCTCGCCTTCCCAGGCCCCCAACGTCCCCTTTCAGCAGGGCCGCTCTATCCAAGCCCCAGAAGGCCCAGCTCGAGGTCACCTGGAGCCCAGATCCCAAACTCCTTCCCCAGGAGACGGGTCCCAACTCATCCAGATGCCACCCCTTCTCAGACCTCCCAGACGACCCCCACCCCTCCTTCCCAAGACCCCTCAGGGGCCGAGAACCTTGCCCTCAGCCTGTCCCCGCTCTTTCCCCCGTGGCCGGGGCTAGCCGCTTGTGCTTTCAGACCATCAACACTTGCCTCTGGACCTGGAGGGGCCTGGGCCAGATTCTAGAGTTCTGTGACAGTCCCATTCCCCCCAGGATGTGAGCACTGCCCTCCCCAGACTAAGGCCAGGGGACGGGGAGGGGCGTCCTCCTGGCCAGGATGCTTCAGAAGGCGTCCAGGTTGCTGGCTTGGACTTGCCTTCCAGAATGAGGTGAAGACACACCTCGCACACCTTGTCTTCGCCCACATTTTGGCATCAGAGCCCCACAGTCCACCCCCACTTCACAGAAGAGGTGGCTGTGGGAGGCAGAGAGGTGATCTGTCAAGCAGAACCAGCCTTTTCAGACTTCTCTCAGGCCAGCCGTGGGCCAGCTGTGGTTCTGCAGCTGGAGCAGTCTCACACCTTCCTGGTTCCCAGGGGAGTCCCAGGATGGTGGACAGGTTTGGCCCAGAGCAACTAGCCAGCGGCCTGATGGTTCTAGATGGCTCCGAAATTATTTTGGACATGGATTTAAATGCCCCTCAAAGTCCGCCCCCCAGACCCCAATGCCCACTGGCTCTGGCCCTGACCTTGACCCTGATAGCAAATGCCCCTCCCTGGAGGCACAGCCCCTCCCTCCTACAGGATCCTCAGCCAGAGGTGTCATCTCCTTTCTCTGCCACTAGGGGGGGCGCCGAGACCGCTGGAGGACGTCCTCCGCCCCTAGTCTCCGGGTCCCGGAAGGCTTCCGGGGAGGGTCCCCAGGCCTCCGCCCGGTCCTGCACCCATTCCATCTCACCTTCCCCTTCAATAAACAGCTGGGATGGACACTGACTTTGCTTCTTTTCTCCGGGATCACCGGGTCGTGGGGGATCAGGAGCGCCTACTGTGTGCGGGAGCTCAAGTCCACTGTTTCTCTTGCTCCTCAGGAAAACCCTGGAGAAAGGGGTCGTTTTCTTCCTTTTCCAGGTACAATCACCAGTGGTCAGAGGGATGAAATTGTCCTCCCAGGCCTTCCCAAGGGAGATTTAAATGCCAGGCTGGAACCTCGCCGACTCCGGAGGCTGAGGCAGGAGGATGAAGTTCACGGCCAGCTTCAGCAATTTAGGGCTGGGGTGTAGCTCAGTGGCCCAGAGCCTCGGGGTTCAATCCCCAGCACCCCCCGCACCCCCACCCTGCAATAACGAAGCTAGCCCTGGCCCATCCCTGGAGGGTAGAGCTCCCAGTCCTGAGGAGGAAGGAAATTTGTCATCCCCAAGGGGGATGCAGGGGAGGGGCCCTGGGCACCTGTCCCCTGGCGGGCACAGCACTCCGTGGAGGGGGAGCTGGAGCCGAAGAAGGGTTGTCTCCGGGGCTGTAAGACCCACTGAGGGGAGGCCCTGCCCAGGGCCCAGGCCCCGTTGTCAGCGCTCTCCAGAATCACTTGACCCTGGCAACAACAGGTGACGGTGACCTGTTGTTCCCGAACTGGGCTCCTCAATTCCCAACCCCATCCACCTGGAGGCTGAATTCCAGCTCAGTCCTCCCCAACCAGCCTACACCCCCCCACACACCCCCACCCCCGCCTGCCCAGCCTTGGGCCTCCACCCAACCCTTCCCACAGCCCCAGTCTTCCTCGAAGCCTTTGCTTCCTCACACCCTGAACCAAAGCCTCTGCAGGTCGTCAGCTGACCACCCTGCGCCAGCCCTCCCCTGAGCTGCGCCCTCAGCTCCCCAGCTCAGCCACCTGGCCCCTCGCACACGCATGGCCCCCAGCTTCTCCGCGGCCTCCGGATTCCACCTTGTACACACCCAAGCGCCCTCGCCACGTCTGATCCCCAGAGCAGCCTGACACGTCTGGGTAGGACTTAAATTAGGGCAGATTCCTCGCGGCTCCCACTAACTCAGGGTAAGACCTGAAGCCCTCCCCGTGGCAGTGGCCGGCAGGGCCTCCTGTTGCCCCCGGTCCCACCCCTCCCCGTCCTCCTCTCCAGGCACTTGAGCCCCCTGTTGCTTCAACTTCAGGCCCTGCGCGGGCCCCTGCCTGCTGGCATGCTTCTCACAGTCAAGGCCTGGCCTCCCTCAACACTCTGCTCAGAGGTCACCTTCTCAATAAGCAGCCTATCTGACAATGTGGCTATGTCCCATTTCCCCATTCCCTGTGCACACTGGCTATTGGCTTTCACTTTTTTATAGCTTTTATCATCGTTCATTACCTGTCTACCCGTCCCACAGGAGCCCTGCAAGCACAAGACGCTCCACGCGCCTCCCCTCCTGATGCAGCTCCAGAGCCTCAAATTGCATTGAGCAGGGGATTGAACCCAGGGCACTTTACCACTGAGTTACATCCCCAGCCCTTTTTATTTATATGTTGGGGATTGAACCCAGGGCTCTGTGCATAGGAGCAAGCACTTTACCAACTGAGTTATATCCCCAGCCCCCTTTTTATTTCTTATTTTGAGACAGGGTCTTGCCAAGTTGCCCCAGGCTTGCCTTGAACTTGTGATCCTCCTGCCTCAGCCTCTGGAGTAGCTGGAATTACAGGCATGCCCCACTGTGCCCAGCCTCAGAACAATTTTGTTTAATAAATCATCCCTAGTTTTGTAGATGAGGACATTAAAGCTCAGAGACATTGTGTAATTTGCTCAGGGAAGCACAGCTCATAAGGGGCAGATCTGGGATTCAGAGTACACAGTTGGTGTCACACTATACTGTCCCTTGGTTTGCAAGTTTAAAAACATATCCAGGTATTTTCTGTCAGGTGGAACAGAGTCAACAGTGTGAACTGTTTGTTGTTGTTGGGTTTTTTTTGTTGTTGTTGTTTTTGGTTTATTTGTTTCGTTTTTTGGTACTGAGGAAAGAAAGAGAGAGATGTGAGGACATTGCATATGCACAAAATTTCTTTTTTTTTTTTTTTAAGAGACAGAGAATTTTTTAATATCTATTTTTTAGTTTTTCGGTGGACACAACATCTTTATTTATTTGTATGTGGTGCTGAGGATCGAACCCAGCGCCCCGCGCATGCCAGGCGAGCGTGCTACCGCTTGAGCCACATCCCCAGCCCGCACAAAATTTCTATTGGTCTTTTATTTATTTAGATGCTGGGAATTGAACACAGGGCCTCATGCATGCTAGGTAAATGCTCTACCACTCAACTACACCCCTAGCCCTTCACCCTTTTGCTTTTTTGTTAATATAAGGATTTTTTAGTTATAGATGGATAATTTTCTTTTTTTCTTTTCTTTTCTTTTCTTTCTTTCTTTCTTTTTTTTTCCCAGTGCTGAGGATTGAGCCCAGGGGCACTTAACCACATCCCCACATCCCAGCCCTATTTTGTATTTTATTAGACACAGGGTCTCACTGAGTTGCTTAGCACCTCACTTTTGCTGAGGCTGGCTTTGAACTCCCGATCCTCCTGCCTCAGCCTCCTGAGCCACTGGGATTACAGGCCTGCGCCACCAGGCCCAGCCCATTTTTCATTTTGAATCTTGTGAGTGTTTTTTCTTTTAAAATAATTAACTTCAAAAATTTAAATAATACAACTAATTAAATACATTTAATACATGAGGGAGAAGAGATAAATCTTCCTAATAAAAGTGTTCCAATTAATAAATGTAGAATTTAGAGAAATAGGAAAATCATCATTAGAAAACCATTCTACCAAGAAATGACAAAATAAATAGGTAATACTTTAGGGTGAAGTGATATATTTGCATAGCCTCAAAGTATTAAGTATTGAATCCTCAGTACAAAAAAAATAACAATAGTAAAAAATTGTGTGTGTGTGTGTGTGTGGTTTTGTTTTGTTTTTGACACAGAGAATTGAACCCAGAAGTGCTTTCCCACTGAGCCACATCCCTCAACCCGTTTTAATTTTTATTTTGAGACAGGGTCTTGCAAAATTGCTTTGGGCCCTCTAAATTGCTGAGGCTGGCCTCAAACTTACAATCCTCCTGCCTCAGCCTCCTGAGCTACAGGAATCACAGGCCTGTGCCACCACCCTCAGCTAATAATAGTAAAAGTTTAAAATGCAATTGCTCTGCTCATGGCCGAATAGCAGAGGGATCAAGAGTACCCCCCACCAAAATGTGGAAAAAATAAAGAATGGACCAAAAACAAATGAACCCCAAAATGGCTTCCCAGAGACAGTTTCCAGAATGTGGCATGCATTTCAATCCCCTCTGTCAGTACTCGATGGAACAAATAGGCAGAAAATCATGAAGGACGTGGACGATTCCATCAATGCTGTCGATCACTCTGCCCTAAGTGACTTCTCTAAGAGAGATCACTCAACAACAGCAGGATGCACAAGGCCTTGGTGGGTTGTCCTGGAGACCTGGGGAAGACAGAGGGCGCGGCTGTCTCAGGGCGCCCTCTGGTGTCCTCGGAAGTGGTTGCAGCTGGGCGGTCTGGAAGCCTCATCCGCCTGCGAGAAGCTGTTCCCTGGGGCCATGGGGGGCTCCCTCTCCTCTCTAAGGTGGGGGAGATCTGAGAGAGGCAGAGTCAGCCAGTGGGGTTCACCTTCTGCCCCACTTCTCTTTTATCCAAGAGCCTGAACCCCCACAGCACCTGGAGGCCTCCCTCCCTCCTGCATACCCTCCCCCGTCCCTGCTGACCCAGAGAGAACCTGGCACCTCACCCCAACTGCAGCACAGAAGGGGTGAGCTGGGGCCACTGCCTGGCCTCCCGCAGGGCGTGCTGAGGGCCCCAGGGCGAGAGAGACAAAGCAGTTCACCCGAGGAGGAAGGTGTCCTGGGAGGTGGGGAGAGAGGACAGCCAGCCAGCAGCCAGGCAGGCCCCAGAATCTGACACCAAGTCTTATTCCCTCAAGGCACTGTGTGAGCCAGAGGAATTTCTTAACCTCTCTGAGCTTCTGTTTGGATTTTTAAAAATTTTGTTTTGTTTTTGTTTTTGTCTCTAAAATAAGGGTAGCAAGAATATGAAGCTCTATCAATCAATCTCTCTCTCTCTCTCTCTCTCTCGTACTAGAGATTCAACCCAGGGACACTTTATCACTATTACATCCCCAGCCCTGTTTATTTTTATTTATTTTCTATTTCGAGACAAAGTCTGGCTAAGTCACCCAAGCTGGCCTCCAAAATGAGGCCTTCCTGCCTCCGCCTCCTAATCTCTTGCGATTGTTTAAAGACCTGGTGGGCTTAGCATAGTGTCCGGCACATGGAAGTGTCCCTAAAAGCTATGAAAGAGAAAAGCTGAGGTTCAGAATAAGCAGACAACACCAGGTTAAAACTCTAGACGACTCAGACAGGAAGGACCTTGCCCTCCAGGGACTTCAGGGTCTGGCGGAGAGGACAGTCCTGCCAACTGACAATGGAGACAGAGCAGGGTAAACACTAGGATAGAAGAACAATGTAATGTCACCTCACAGGGACAGGGACATTCAGAAAGCAGTACATAATAGCGGTGTGCACAGCACTTTCGGGGCTGGGCTCTGTTCTCAGCACTTTCTGAGGATCTGCCTGTTCAGGCCTCTTAATTCCCATTAGCTTCAGTTCACAGAAAAACTGAGCACAGAGTGTTTTCGTGTTCTGTCCAAAATTGTGCAGTTGGCAGAGCTGGAATTTGAACCCAAGCAATGCAGGCCCAGAATGCCCCATACCTCTGGAGGGTGCAGACGCGGCCTGGCAGACTCTGCCCACAGAGCTGCCTGAGAAGGGGGGAGGTCATGTTCAGAAGCACGCGCGCGCACACACACACACACACACACACAGGCAGCTCCTGGGTGTCTTTTCCAAGGAACCAACTCCTGCCTGAAGCAGGGTCTCAGAAGCTCCCCGGGAACAGCCATGCACTGCTAGACCCACACAGGCAGCCTCCTGTGGCGCACAGA